ACCTCGCTGACCCAACATTATGTTAAAAAGTCAAGAATTTCACTCTTCCATAACTGGTGTGGAATATATCTTTATTTTGGCATTTTAATGTAAAATTTTTATTAAATTTCATTCATATAGTTATGATAAGCTACTGGTTGAAGTATATATCCTGCAAATTTGTGGGATACCCAACTTTTTAGGGTACTTAAGTCATGTATTTTCCAGAGTCAGAAATATATGTCTTGGTTTCTGTAGATCTCTTAATTTTTTATCTCATTTTGTCCTGATTTCAATTTCAGCTATCACACAGAAGAATACTGTGTTTGTTAACAAAAAATTTTGTGTTTAAAAGTATATGTATTTTCTTCTACTTTTTATGTTCAATTTATTCTTTGCGTAATTGTCTAAGTTTGCATTTCACTGAAACTTTTGTCTTTTCTGCTGAACTTTAATGCACTTTAAAAATTTAACTCAGCATAAAAGTTAGATATATATGTTTTATGGACACATGGGTAGTAAATTTTGGCCGAATACCAGGCCCAGGTACCTGGTCACTAAGTTTCAGCTGGGGCCGAGTGTCAACTGGGACTGAGTTCTCCCCTCGCACCCTCCTCCCAAAAATACAAACAAACAAACAACATACATAAAAATTAGAAAGAAAAACAAAATTGGCATTTATTACATTTAACCAAATAATCACCAACAGAACATTCAAGTTTTACTTTCAACTTTTAATGCCTAGCCCCCACTTCTCAAACTGTAACCCCTATTGTTCTCAAAATCCCCGACTTTCAGTGGGCATCAGTCATTGTTGCTCGAAATACGTTTTTTTTCTAACTAAAACAATTATTGACTGTAACTTTCAGTACCATGCTAGTTGCTACAAAATTAGGGCCTAACTTTGACACTCGGCCAGAGCCAAGTATTACGGGGTAGCCCAATACTCGGTTGGGTACCCGTGCATCCCTAATATTTATATATACCTTTGTATGAAATTACATTATGTCACTAAATAAATAATTATCTATGCTTCATTTGTCACCACAATCAAATGTGTTTCACCTTTACATAAAACAAAATGTGCTTCAGTAAAGTGTTATCATTATTGCAAAACTAAAATGTTTTACTCAGTATCAAAGTCCAATATATTTCACCTTGATGCAGTACAGTAACTACCTCTTATCTGTAAGAAACCAGTCTCTTTGGGAATATTATGATACCAGTAAAACTTTATTTGGCTTGGACAGTAGTAGCTAGTATATATTGTAAAAAGTCATACTCAAGAAAGTAATTCATCACTCCTTTAAATGGAGATTACTAACAATGGTAGACATTTCACCTTTTAATGTTTATGAAGAGGTAAACACATTTTCTAACCATGCATAAACAAGAATTTGACAAGTGCAAAGCCCATAAATATTCAGTCTCTGCTGTGATGATTTATCCATAAATACAGTAAAGAAGGCCCAGTGCTTGTGATTATTATGAAATATTAAATCAAATTTATCTTAAAATGTGAAGAGAGTGAGCATATACACTAGTAAAAGCTTTGTCAGTCTTGAATCATATTATTTCATTTGAAATTTTACATTTATGAAATCTTGCACTGGCCAAACTTAAGTTATTACTTAGAGAGATTTATAAAACTTCTTGATCAATATGCATCTTCGTAGTACAAGTATGCCTGACTCGAATTATTCTGAAGTGCAATACTGCATGACAATTAAAGGTAATTAAATTCTGATTTCTGAGTTACCACATAAAATCCACTTACACTCCATGGAGCTTACACCAAAGTAAGAGTTCCATTCTGCATTTCATAGTTTATAATTCTCAATTATATATTATTTTGCAGTGTTTTGTTTTATTTTTAGATAAAGTTAGGTATGTTATTCAGTATTTAAACAGAAAGATACATGAGCAGAATACACTGTTTGTAATAATTTGTTTTTTTATCTATTACTGGGTTATTATGTTTATTGTTTTAAGGTTTTTATGCCATAACATGTACATTTCTCACAACACAAAATTCATGTACATTGATAGTTAAATAATCATTTTTCCATTTTTAAAAACAAAAGTTAGTATTAGAATCACATAAGTTCAATACCTTATGACTTATTACCATAAAGTGTTATAGTAAAAACTACAAAAAAATTGTTCAACACTGTCAGAGAACTAGAAAAAGTTATTACCAAACTTTATATTATGATAGCTGACACCAAAGGCATGGATAATGAATGCATTATCTTCATAACTTGCTAAACAAGCATACAGACTTCCTAAATGTTTTGGTTCTGCTTTTTTTCCACTTATAGCTTCTTCATATGATGTAAGCTTGATCAAAGAGGTACCTAGCTGGGTTTCACTCTAATAATGAAAAAATATTATTGTACATACCATGCAGCTTACAGAAATACATTTACCTTCAAAACTCTTTGCAGAAGTTATTTCAAAAACATAATTCCAATATTAACAAGTTTTCATAATATATAACCAATATTTTATATCAGAGAGTCTCTAAAGCAGGGGCAAATTCAATTTTTTGTATTTAATTATAAGTTAGCTATGATAGTATTGCCAAGATGTCTGAAAATATGACTACATTGTCAACTAAAAAATCATGGCATACAGTACTAGGAACAGGATATGATATCTGGTAGTACGCTGTGTGAATACCAAAAAAAGGAAACAACTTTCTTTATGTAGATTTTCTAAAGATACAGAATGCTATATAACATGAAATGAAAATGAAATTTTTACTCATACTTGTATTATGAGAAACCAGCTGTCTTGCACTGATTCATATTACTTGTTATAACTTTGAATCAAAGTACTGTTAAATGTAGGCTTGAAATAGACAGTGCTGGCATCAAATACAATCTATATCTCCGCAAATTGTGCTAGTTTTTCTCACTAGGCTTATATACTAAACAGAGGGTGTCTCAAACAAACTCGGGCCTCCCGGATAATTCATGATCCTTCCAGAAACTGCAGCGCGCATGCTCCCAGTATCACGTGACTTCTGCTGTTGGAACAGTATCAAAGCTAGAGCACTCAGTCATTTTGGGTTTTAGTACACCTCAGGTAATTATTCAACTGGCTGGCTGAAAGCAGATGCCAAATGCTCACATGAACTTGAACTTAGTAGCAGTGTAGCAAAGAGTTTCAGTAATATAAAAATATCTGGTACACTGAGGCACACTTTTGAGCAGTCAGCCAGTACCTGGGGCCTGTTCTGGAGAGGTATAGAAAGCCATCTTGTCTTCTATTGATGAAGTTCTTCATCAAAAATATGAGAATTTGGCAAATCTTCCCTGTAAAAATCTCTAGTCTGTCTGATATCAGAGATAGAAAACTTTTGTGTGAATTTTGATGGCATAAGTTTCAGAATTGATGCTGCTTGCTTTACATGTGAATCAAATCTGGAGGAAAATTTACAGATAATGTGGTCAAGAAAAGGAATGGTTACTGTTTTCTTAAAGTAATCCTCCACTGAACTATATTCCGCATTTGCATGTTGGGCTTGTCTTTGACTAACTCATGGCATACTAACATTAATATTATATTTGTTTGTAATATTACTGCTGTGCTTGAAGATACAATGTGAATAATCACCTACATTCACTCTTAGTGAAATCAGTTATTTACAGCATTGTTCTATTAGAGAAAGACTAGAAACAACAATAGGGGATTTGGCCAAACCCCCCTGCATATGTATGTCATAACATCAGTATCTTTTAAGGGTCAGATCCCTATTCTATTATTTTGCTTACCTTAACATACTTAAACAATTATACACTCTACTCATTCTTGAAAATCCCTAAGGGGTTAGATAACAAATGTGGTGTTAAATATTATTATTATTAAGAAATAGTAGTCACTACCTCATGGTTTCAAATTTTAGAGCTAACTATTAAGCTGTGGTATGTATATATGTACCACATATCTTAATCTCCTATGGTATACATTTCATATTAAAACATCTTAAAAATTTCTCCAAGTTTTAGTTAGGGACATCCTAAGTCTAATCAAAGTATGTACTAAATGTAGCCCTAGTATTATTTTCTGTAGCAGTGTTCAATCACAGGCCTACAGTTTCATAGGATAATTTTTTTGTGTCCTACTCTAACTTGTCTATAAATAACTGCTGTAAGGACCAGGGATTTTTCCAAATTTTTGTGATCCAGTTTTCTGATTGGTCAGCTACAGAAAGAAAGTAAACTGTAATTTAATTTTTCTGGCAATTTCAGACAAATTCATTTTAGTCTTGAAGGAGTCAAGACATGCTGTTTAAGTTTCATCCATGCTTTAATCTTTCATCTATTACGTTTTTTAACAATTTAGATAATACTCACTTCCTCTTCGAGTATAATTCATTTTTGTTTGAATATAAGTTTTGTTAATTTTCAATAGTTTTTCTTCTTCAATTACTTTGCCCAACAATACAATATTCAACTGCACTGATTATTAGTCCTTAACCTTAAGTACTACTTGCTTCAGTTAATAAAGTTTATTTTTATCTCAACTTCAACACTGATTCATCTCGTTCATTTATCCACTTCATATAACTACAACCGTTTTTCCATGTAACAAATTCTCCAATTTCTAGTTGTCGTTCAGACTGTGTGCTTGTTTTATCCTTGAATTACCACATTTTAGTTCATTTGGATAAATTTTAAAACTGTAGACCAGTAACGAGTTATTGTGGAAGTGGTAGTTGATTGAGTTTTCAATTCTCCTAAGTTACTTTTCTCCCTTTTGCTGTAAAGTTGCCCTAGAGATGACTGCCTGTTCTGGTAAGAATATCTCTGAAAGGAGGAGAAAAGCCAAAGGGATTTGAGGATGAAATCAGAGAAACCCTGATTAACTTGGAGAAGCCCTTGGCTGAATGCTCTTCAGAACTTCCATAGGATTCTAGAGCTTCACACACTTTTTCATCCACTGAGAGGACTAAGCCTTGGCCTGATCCATCAAGAACTGCTATTAATGTCAGTCATTCTTCCAAACACAGATCAGCAAAGCTTTATTACAGTGATATAAGGTCAAAAATAACTGGATATTAGTTAGTTGCTACAAATCTCTTGGATGGTTTGTAAGTGAACCACATAGGTTGGCATACACTGTTCCTGAAGCTCCATACTTGATAGAAACCTTGGAAACGACTAGAAATGAGCTGAAGTGAATTGACAAACTGATCCTTTTCATCTCCTGATGATATCATCACCATAAAATCCCATGCACCTTGTACCTGAATGAACCAAAACATTTTGGGTTAAAGATTATTGGGTTACACCAGTTGTTGAAGAGTGAAGACATGTTTTTCATTTGATCCAGCAGGGTAAGTCTTTGAAGATGCTAAAATATGTAGTCTTTGTATTAGTAATACAGTTAAATTCCTCATCTTCTCTGGTTTTCCTCTATGTATGAAGTCTCCAACTTCCACAGGATCTTGTATATTTTCAAAACAGCCTTTTTCAGGGATATGTGAAATTGCTTGTTTGTTTATTTTTGGAGTTTATTTGCAGAAAAACCAATGCAAACGAGATCACAAGGTTCAACTCTGTCATCAATATTTGGCAAGATGAGGAGAACTGCACCAGCAGTGACCCTGAGCCTCTGCCCACCAGCTTGGATTCTGATAGCTCCTTGCCTCATTTGATGACACCAACAAATTTGCATGAAGGGTCATCCAAGATCCTGCCATGAAAGAAGAAGACACCCAAGTTGCCCATCCAAGCCAAGAGCCCCATGAAGTCAGAGACAGCATCTATTAAGACTCCATCATCTCTTCCAGCTGTTATTATCAAGGGAGTTTTCAGGTCATACCATCAACCAGACATTGCCAGAGAACTGCATAGGCTATTCCCCAAGATAACCTTCAACCATGTTTGCTGTCTTCCTAAAGGTGGCATTTGCATGAAATGCATTCACTCCCTGGTTATTGCTCATTTATGAAGACCTGGCCACCTGACACCTTCACTGGAGCTAAGATCTCAGTTCACGTTGTTGTGGAAACAGCATCCAAGTAGGACCTAGTCATCAGTGGCATCCCCATGGATATCACTGACAATGAAATCCAGCAGGAGTTTGAGGCCTAAGGATTCAAGATTTCCAAGTCAAAAAGGATAAAATTACTCAGAGCAGGAAACATCATCCTTCTTGTCATGATTACCACAATGGACCTCAAGTTAGCAGATACTCATCCATGACAGAGATGCTCTATGGTACACCCATCATCAAGTGGAGCTCAGCAGGACCCCATTACCAAGACTTCATGCACTGCAGCCACCAGGATTGTTAGAGGCAGAGATCTTCTCCCCCTCACTGAGTGTCTCAAAGCCCGAGAAACTATAAGATGTGCCATCTGCGGCAGCTCCATGCTGCCTCATACCAAGGTTGTCCAAAGTGCCAGTTAGTCAACAACCTCAAGTGGAAGGTAAGTGCTAATCCTCTATCTCACTCATGTAAAGCAACATTAGCACACAACAGGGTAACAGCTTTCCTGCCCCTGCAGCCAGGAGGAACCTACCACTGCTGTCAACACCATCAACCACAAAAACACAGACCATTTCTTCAGCTGACTTAACCTTAACTCATAGGCCAACCACTTGCACCAAATACGTCAAGGCCTCATTGATGCCATCTGCCATCTCCTCCATCACAATATCCAATATCTTCACCAAGATAGCTGGATTCATCACTGATGTCATCTATACATGCACCACTTCAGCCCAGGACTCACAACCCAAAACTGCAGACAAACAAAAAACGACTTAGTGAGGCTAGTTAAATCTATCAAGACTTCAATTACAATTATTCAACAGTAGCAACTTTTCTTGATGTAAAATAAGCTTTTCACACAGTGTGGCATAACACTCTTAAGTATAAACTATATGCAAACAAGGTTCACATTCCCATCACCAGATGGCTTTTTAGTTTTATTACAAACAGAATTGCTAAAGTAAAAAGACAATAATACCTCATCTAATACATTATGCATTCTCTTTGTTAACAATATACCATTTCCACAATTAATATATGCCCTCATTTTCCAAATGTCAAGACATTGCTGTCTGGCATATATCATGAGATCCACTTGCTGCAGTAGCTAGAGTACAAGATGAGTTAAACAATATAACTCACTGTTGCAATAAATGATGAGTAGTTCTCAATCCAATCTAAACCCAGTAATAGTCTATCATAGAAGAACTGGCAGACATGACAAAAAACTCAGGCAAGTTAAACTCTCCTTATACAATACTCCCATTACTTTTAAAATAACGACCACATTTACAGGTATCATGCTCAACTCATGTATGCTTTGAGCCACTCACTACAACAACATTGAAAACACCAGCACAAGATGC